CCTTATCTGTCATTGACTGGGATTAGGCACCCAGAAAGGTAGGCATAACAAAACAAACCCCACATGGTAAGAAAATGACAACTAAAAATTGAAAAGCGAGGCAAAACTCCCTCCAATCCCAAGGAAACAAGCAAACTTCACACTCCACTGCCGTGTTGCTTGTCCGCGAAGCCCTCCCCTCCCCTTCCCTCCACTCCCTGCACCAGCTACCTAGCACTCCAGTTCGTTCGCTAATGTGGTCTGGGCGGACGTCTTCTCTGGCCTCGAATTCCAAGGCGGTATTTTGCATTCATGGGCGTTTTGGGTTGTCACCAGCCTGTGGTGGTGTTGAGTGGCTCCTTTCCCTTCGGGGGTTCGGGGCTAGCAGGACAAGCTTCTTCCCATGTGCTTCATCAGGTCATCTCGGAGTGGGTGTGCTTAGGCGTGGTCGAAACAACCCCATCCTTCAGGTGGGTTTCCTGCCCGTTTCCAGTGCCGAAATGGGACTGTGCGGATCTGAGGTCCATTCTGGACTTGTCCCGTTTAAACCCCTGGATTCCTTGCTCCTCCTCCTCCTTTCAGATGACAACTCTGTCTCAGGTCCAGTTTTTTCTTAAGCCGGATGCTTGGATGGTGACCCTGGACCTCAAGAATGCATATTGGCACATTCCTATTCATCTGGGGTTCAGGGACTGGTTAGGTTTTATGATGGGGCATCAGGCATCAGGGCATCAGGTCGTGGTGATCCATCTGCATCTGATAGGGGTTCGGGCCCTGGTCTACCTCGATGACTGGCTGGTGTGGGCACTCATTTGGTCCACTTGTCTGCTCGCCAAGGGTGTGGTTCTTTCCCAGTTCACCGGGTTCAGGTTCCATGAGGAAGTCCCATCTGGTTCTGTCCCAGGTTCGGACTTGGCTGGGTCTTGTTTGGGACTCTCGGACTGCTTCCATGTCTCTCCCTCTGGAGGCATTGCTGAGGCTGTGGTCTCGCCTTCGGCTGTTTCTGGGGCGGGGGGTTCCGGGTCATTCGGAGGTTGCTCAGCAGGTGTACGGGAGTTTGAACTTCGCTGTGCTGGTCTACCTGCTGGGTTGGGTTTGACTTCGGAGTCCATTCTGGTTCCTTCGGGGATGCCCCTTCTGCTTCTCTCACAAGCATGTGGTTCGTACTCTGGGGGTCTTGCGTCGCTGGCTTCCTCTTCGGGGTTTTCGGGGTTCAGTGCCTTGGCATCTACCTGTGCCCTTGCTCGATGTGTTCACGGATGCATCATCTCTCGGCTGAGGCTTTGTGACCAGTGCTCACCAGACTGGCCAGGGGCAAGAAAAAACACCTGCTAAATGTAAAGAGAGGCAGTAAATCACCCTTCTCTAAGGAGGGGTGATTTCCGTCCTTCTGTCGGGCTTACAGCACGGTGTGGGAGTTTGCGGCGGTTTGGTTGTTGCTTTGGAGTGTTTGGGCTGCTTGGGGTTTGACCATCCAGCTCCATTTATACTGTTCTCCGGTGGCTCATTGCCTAAACCACGGGGCTACCCTTTGGTCTTTGCTTATTAGAGCCGGTCGTTTTGAGTAGCTTGTCTGCTGGCTTCTCAGGGTTTGGCTCTCCGTGCAGTTCATATTTGGGGAGTGTCTACCATCCTGACAGATGGTCTCTCTCGGTTCATTCCCCTGTCCACGAAATGAACGGTTGATGCTAGCTCCTTCAGTTGGCTCTGCTGGACGTATGGACTCCCTGACGTGGACCTCTTCGCGTCGGCATGGTCTTGGCATCTCCCGATCTATATGGCGCCCTTTCCTGACTGCGAGGCTGTCGCCGTGGACCCCTTTCGGCAGGACTGGTGAAGTTGGGGGTTACCTGTACCTCCTCTCCTCCAGTCCAGCTGTTGCTTTGGGTTCTGGGTTGGTTGGAGTCCTACCAAGGGCAGGTAGTCTTCGTGGCCCCTTGATGGCTGGCCCAGTCTTCTGTTCTAGGCTCTGCTTGCTTGATGTGCGAACCCGGGGCGTTTTCCGCGGCTCTGCCTCTTCCAGCAGATCGGACCAGTCCGGTACACAACTGGTTAGGTCTGCTTTTCGCGTCTGGTCTTTTTGACGTGGGTTTATCACCATTTGTATGGTAATCAGGTGGTGGTGTTGATGGTGTTCTACCTGAGAGCTTTGTCTCAGCGACAGTATGAAGTTTCCTGGCGTTCTTTCTGCCATTTTCTCTCTCTTTGTAGGTTGCCTTTTATTTCTGATCAGGTTGTCTTGTCTTTTCTGTCCTGACTTTTTCAGGACCGTCATTTGATGCCTAATACTGTTGCCTCATGTCATGTGGCAGTTGCGGAGCCTCTCCAGCTTGCGTTCTGGGTGGATGTCACTTCTGTGACATTATTTGGTTAACGTTCCTGCTCCTGGGCGTTCCTGTGTTGCTCTAGGTCACAGTTTGCAGCCATTTGTCTCAACTTCACATTGAGGAGTATGTGGCGACTGCCTCCTGGGCAAGTCCCTCGTTTTCTTATCTTTGGTTATGTAGCTCCATGGAACTGTGAAGGGTTCCCTACAGAAAGCCAGCATTGAGTGTAATGAAATGCCATTTTCTGGATGAGCCCCGGAGGCGCTCTGGCAACCCCTCCCTCCCTCTTTCCGGTCTCTCTCCCTCTTTCCGGTCGGTGGTTTTTCGCGTTGTTTGATGCTTAGCTTCTGAACTGGAGTGCTAGGTAGCCGGCATGGGGAGGTCCGGGGTGCCCCCTTCCCCCCCTCACTTGGAGGGGAGGGCTATGCGGGCAAGCGACGAGGCAGTGGTGTGTGTGACATTTGCTTGTTTCCTTGGGATTGGAGGGAGTTCTGCCTCTTTACAGTTTTAGTTGTAATTTTCTTACCATGTGGGGTTTATTTTGCTATGCCTTCCTTTCTGGGTGCCTAACCCCAATCGATGGCAGATAAGGAAAAACCAACAACCACAGGGGGGGGTTTTCCAGGGCCATTGCTACCTGCAACTTCTCTAAGGAGGCCAGGTTCTGGCTTGTGGTCTCCAGTAGGTCAAACTCCTTAGACTAACGCCTAAGTCTAATATATCACACATTAGCCTGATAGCTCCAGGGAGCCTCCGGGGCTCACCCAGAAAATGGGATTTCATTACTGTACATTCAATGCTAGTTTTTTTTTTTTTTTGGGTTATCAGGTTGATTTTAGATCACCATTCTCCTCTCACCCCTATGAGCATTCCAAATTCTGTGCCTGGTGTTGGGTAGGCCTATGTAAGTCCAGAGGTCTGGTAGTGTTGTTGCTGTCTATGGTACTAGAACAAATGGTTAAGAAAGCTACTGAAAACAATGGTGTGAATAGAAAGAGGAAAGATTTCCTCTATAAAATGCCACCAAAATATAGTTTTTACCCCTCTGAGTTATCAGTCAGTATTTAGTTCTGACTAGAGCAACACTCCTGTACTGAACGGGGGTGAGAATAGCTTCAGCTACCTCATCCCTTGGTGTGTATTTATACCTTAATAAACTTATTTCAATTTCAGTCTCTTCAGTCTCAGAGCTGAAACTAGCCATGTGAAGTTCTACAAACCAGGCTCATTGACTTTTCCATGAAACCCACTCTCATTAATAGAGAGATTTGGTCTCATAAGCATTATGAAAATAACTTTCATGGCACATCCTCAGAAATAGACTGAGACCTCCAGAATAGCATAAGCTGCATAAAATTTTGATCTGGAATTTTTTTTACTTAGCTGTTCAGATTTCATTGTGGCCCCCTCTGTGGAATTCAACTGTTTCTCTTGATGAAGTTGAATTTCATAGGGGTGATTTGATATACTGGGTATAGAGGAAGTCATTATTTTGAGAAAGTTTCCCCTAAATAATGAAATTTGAAGGCTCTTCTGTACCTTAGTCACAAACAAAATTAGCCAATAGAAAAACGAGCTATATAAATTTATTTAAGCTTTGTCTTTTTAAAGTTAAAGACTGGATATACAAAATGTTTATTAACACGAAAATTATAACTAACACATACTTTACATTCATATTTGAGTTTGTCATGACACTCAAATATGTGAGCATTAGTAATCAGAAGCTGGAGTATTTTGGTGGCATCTGCCCTTAACCAGCTGATGGAGAAAAATGACTAAATATACCTTTGTTAACTCTCCCCTTAAATGAAGTGAAAGGTAAATTAAATTGAATGGTTATTAACACATGTTGTTCATGATTTTTCTTCCAATTGCTTTAGCAAGACATTATTGGAGACTGGCACTGATGTCAGGTAGCATGACTTGGTTCTTTCTCTTACAAGCCCTGCATTATTTGCACATAATAATAAGAAATATTAGGGAATAGAATATTTATTAATGTGGGAATCATTAAAACAAATCTGGGAAATGTTACGTGTTTAGCAGTGCTTGTGTTAAGTGATGTCTGAAACACTTTCCACTGGGCTTACCTAGCCCCTTCTATAATTAATTACTATTTCAGTTTTGTGACCACCTGGAGGCACCTTACCTTGTGGTTACAATACCTTGCGATGATTTTGAGGCTTAGCGTTCCCGCGGCCCAGTGCCTTGACCTGGTACTGATCATTTCGTTGAATTGATGTTACACATTTAGTTTAGAAATGTTTATAAAGCATTGGTTAAAAGTACACCTAGTAGTTTAGCATCATCTAACATGTCATTGTAATCAGGTTACAGGCTAGTCACACCTAACTTGTATTTCTAACTAGTTAGGAAGTTAGGTGTGGCACAAGTCAGTCACACCTAACATGTCGTTATAATCAAGCTACAGATCAGTCAAACTTCCCATGTTCTTGTAACCTAGGCTGTAGGTCAGACATGCCTTCTTCCATAACTCACTTGAACTCGTCTATTCTTTTCTATTGAATACTTACTATAAATATTAATGTTACTGTTCTGATGATTTATTGAAACCCGATTTATTAAATATTTAGTGTCTTACAAATTTGTCCTATTGGAAACCAGCTGCTTCAGACTGTTGTTTTGGTGTTGTCCAGCACTAGTAGTATATCCCTTAACAAAATACCCCAGGTAGTTGAAGCAGGACTCGTGCAAGAGTTCATCAAGACAACTCGCGTCATAGCGCTGATCGAGGTCATTGAGGAAGGGAAGCAAGGGGGTGAGCAGGCATTGCTTATCTTCCAAACTGCCCGTGTACCAGTTCACAGTGCAATTGATCTTAGCATTGAACAGGTTCTTCCCATTGACAGTAATCTCAAGTGTGAACTTGGTGAGTAAACATTGCAAGAGTCTACTGGTTTAATGCTCTTATCATGTCCCTTTTATCTTGGTTACAAATATTTTTGTTAATAAAGTTTAGATTTTCTTTATATCTGATGACATAAATAGTATGTGGGAATAATATATTTTTTTCTGGGGGGGGGGAACCCCGGTGGCTCCCTGGAGCTATCCAGGCTGATATGCTAATGTCAGACTTTGGCATCAGTCATGTGTATGGAGTTCTGTGGGCCTACCGGGGACCACGAGCCAGAACCTAGTCCCCTCAGAAGAGGCACGAGGAGCAATGGCCTATAGAAACCCCCCGTGTCGTTGGAAGCGTTCTATGTCTGCCATCGACTGGGTCAGGCACCCAGAAAGGTAAGCATCCCAAAACAAACCCCTATTCTAGTGAAAATTGTGATGAAAAGCCGAACAAGTGGATAGAACTCCCCAAACAGAAACGGGCAAACGAATATGACGTCACACGTCGCCGTGCCGCTGTCTGTGCAGCTTTCCCCTCCCCAGTAGGGGGAAGGGGGAGCCCCAGACTCTCGGGCCGGCAATCCACCTCTCAGTTCTGAGGCTGATACTATAGGCAATGGTCGTGTGCTCTGGCTCCAGTGGTTGTTTCAGCACTGTGCCTTGTGTGTGGTGACTATCTTCTAGGTGGTGCGTGAGCCAAGAGTGATTCCCAAGGTGCCCAGTAAGTACTGCCCTTGGGGCCACCTTCCACAAGTTCCTTGGGTCCTGCTTCTGCTAGACCATTTATTGCTTGGTTTTCGGTTGCCCTTTGTGTGCTTGGGGGGTTCTGTCTCCCTTGTTCGCCTGAGGGCAGGGGGGCAGTTTACACAGTGTACTGTGCAGCTTGTTTTCACCAATCATAGTGGCCGGCTCTGTTCCACTTGGGTACGCTGTCCTCTTGTGGGGTTTTCTTTTTCTTTTTGTTTGCCTGCCTGGTGGGGGAGGGTCTTTCTTGGTTCTTGCCCCCTGTGAACTGAGTACTCTTCTTCTTCCAGTGCTTCACCCTGCTTGGTTCCCGTGAGTGTATACATCCCGGGGGTTCAGTTCTTAGAAAGTTGTTTGGTAGACTTGGGCGCCAGTTAGCAGTACCCTGCCTGGGCTTCCCTGAGCGTGAGTTCCTTCTCAGGACCCTGGGAATCCCCATGGGTGTGTGTGGGTCCGATGGATGTGACCCCTGAGTCCCCCCTCGCTTTGTGCGAGTTCAAGTGTTGCTCTGACGGGACGCAAGTCTTATTTTCCTCAGCGTCATCCCTTTTATATGTCTTCTTTGTTCCTCGTCTTCCTTCTACACTCTTGTCCCTAGCTGCTGGTGCTGGGGTTGTTTTTCTAGTTCGTATGGCTTGTTATACTGTATCCAGTTCCAGTCATTTGTCCTGCATGGTACTATGTGAGGGGTAGTTGGCATTTTTTTTTTTTTTAACTTTTTGCGTGTAGGTTCCTCATCAGGACTTGACGTCTGCGAGGGGCCCTGTACAAGTTCGTTTACGCTTGTTTGTTTTGTGATAGCTAAGTGTCACGGGATGTAATAGTTCTAATGTTACCTCGACCCTCTCGTTACGCATTGTGTGGTTTCGTATGTGCTTCTTAGCTCTCCTACTGCTAGGTTGGTCTTTGTCCATGTTCAGTTCCCTGCTTTTGCACCGCCCCTATGTTTGGTTCTTTCCCGGCTTGCCAGGTTTGGATTTCTGGTTTCCTGGCTTACCCTACCAGTTGGCATTTGCCGGATCTCGCGGTGTCACTTCTCATGATTCTCGCATCGGAACTACAGTGTCTCCAATCGCCTGGCGAGCTCGCTAGCGTTGGGGAGTTTTCTGTACGACAGATGTTCCTTCTCATTCCTTGCCGGCTTGGGTTCCAGCTCTGCTTGCTCGGTACTCGCACCCAAAGTTTTCCCGAGGCTCTGCCTCTTCCTATGCTCGATCGGTCCATGGCGGGGCTGGTTCAGTTCTGCCTCGAGTATCTCACCATCTGTTGATGGTCAGGTGGCTTCGTTGATGATGTCCCACCTGTGTGCTTCGTCTTGGCGGCGGTGTGGGGTTTTCTTTGGCGGTCCTTCCTTTTTCTTTTTGTCCCTTCGTCGGTTTGCTATGTTTTCTTGGCATGGTCTATTAGTTACCTTCTTGATGTATGTGGTTCTTGCTCTCTGGGTTGCTTTGGTTTTGGAGTTGCCTCTGCACCGCTTTGCGAGCCGTCTCTGGTGCTCTTTTCTCTTCTCCTCGCTTTGTGGTGGCCCCTTCGGTTCCGAATTGTTTTCCGAGGCTCATTTCTTGTTGGCCTCTGGGGGTCAGGTTGGAGGGCTTCATGCCCTCCTCCGGCGCCTCGATTTCGGCTCTTTTGGTTCTCCTGATAAGTTTTGTTCGCTTGCAGCCGTCTCATTCTTTTCTGGCGAAGACTGGCTCGGCTGCTTTCCGGAGAGGTCCTTGGGTCGTTTGATGCTTGGTTGGTCTGGCCGGGGTGCATCGTGTGTTGTGTTCAGTTCGCCGTGCCTGGCGTGCCACGGCTGCCGTGACCGGGGTCACGCTTTGGGTTGTTCCAGGTTCCCTTCTTCCCTGTTCCAGGGTGTGGTTCTCTCGCGTTGTCCGTGGGGTGGTTCGGTCCTGCCAGCCTGCTGTCTGTCTCCGTGCCCAAGTCGTTCGTTGGTTGGCTCTGCTTTTCTTTGTTGATGTTTCTAGGCCTTGTCAGGCCTGTGTGGCCTTGGGTTGGCAGTTGCTGTTTTTGTCTCCGCTTCGCGTTAGGGTGTGTGCGTCTTTCGCCTCCCGGGTTAGGTCCCTCTTGTTTTCGTCTTTGGGTAGGTAGCTCCGGGGAGCCGACGGGGCACCTCCCAGAAATGCAGTGTTGAATGTAATGAAACGCCATTTTCTGGGCGAGACCCGGAGGCTCCCCGGCAACCCTCCTTCCCCCTGGTCGGCAGTTTTTCGCATGTTTTGATATTCAGCCTCAGAACTGAGAGGTGGATTACCGCCGCGGGGGTCTGGGGCTCCCCCTTCCACCTACCGGGGAGGGGGAACTGCGCAGACAGTAGCACAACGACGTGTAACGTCATACTTGTTTGCCCGTTTCTGTTTGGGGAGTTCTATCCACTTGTTCGGCTTTTCGTAGCAATTTTCACCAGAATAGGGGTTTGTTTTGGGATGCTTACCTTTCTGGGTGCCTGACCTGGTCGATGGCAGACATAGAATGCTTCCAACCACACGGGGGTTTCTATAGGCCATTGCTCCTCGTGCCTCTTCTGAGGGGGGCCAGGTTCTGGCTCGTGGTCCCCGGTAGGCCCACAGAACTCCATACACAAGACTGATGCCAAAGTCTGACATGAGCATATCAGCCTGGATAGCTCCGGGGAGCCTCCGGGTCTCACCCAGAAAATGGCGTTTCATTACATTCAACGCTGGTTTTATATAATGTATTTTTGGGAAGGCCCTCTCAGTATCTTCCCAAGCTAAGCATTGGTCCACCCATGCCTCTGGGAAATGCACTAGATTTATGAGACCCACTCTTGCCTACCGGGAGACAGGACCATAGTCTGGCACTCTTTGTGAGGCGAAAAAACTTGGGGATTAGAGATCAATCCAAAGCAGATAAAAATTACCACCAGAAATAATTGAAACAAAACAAGCAAATGCTTGAAGAAAATTAAGATTGCTTGTGCCTTTTCCCACCAGGTGTTTAAGTTTAGGATACTGGGTTGGTTCAGCTGAAATACTTGCTTCATGCCTAGCATACCTGCCTGTTTACCTGACAGTCAGAGAAGATCATTTCCTTTGTTTATGTGAAAATTTTATCAGTATTTAGTTTTCAAGCAGGTTGTTAATGTTCTCCTGTCTGACTCTGGACCTTACACTGCAGTTTCCAGTTTTCAGGATTTATTTTGATGTTTTGTGAGACCATGGGTTGCAGTACAGGTTTTTGAGACACCTGTCTTCAGCAAGAAACACTGTTACAACATGGGCAGTCTTGGTGCTTGCTGCTTGGTGAGTTTTTGTGCAGAGTTCATGGTTTTCTGGGGAAGACACTTGTGCCTCTCTAAAGCCACTATATGCTGAGATGATACCATATACTAGGCTGTATCACCCATGGAGTTCTATAAGCCTATTGGGGACCAGTGCCAGAACCTGGCCTACTTGCAGAAGTGCAGGGAGCGGTTTCATTTAATTTTGCCACCTCGCCAGGGAAGGCAACCATTAAGTCAATGAGTCAAAAACAAACCATTGCTGGGTTCAAAAGAGACTGAAGCCTTGTAACCCAGTGAAAGAACTCCCCAACTATGTAAACAAACCATCAAATTTTCTCAGAACTAGCGTGAGCTCATTCCCCCCACTCATTTGGAGGGAGGAAAATGTAGCTCTCTGCCAGCCAGGTCCCCAGCTTTCAGTTCTATAACTGATATACGTAGTGGGTACCAGATCGCCTCTCTTCTGTGCTGGCTCCGGTGTTCTGCTTGTAAAGCTAAATGGTGGCACTTTTCCTTAGTGCATTTCATGTACACCTTGGTCTAGCATGAGCAAAGTTTTGAATGTTTGGAGCTGCATGTGCACAGGGTTACCTTCTTACAGGGTTACCTTGTGTGCTCTTGCTCTTGCATTTCCAGGGTTATCTTACCTGCAGTGTTCATGAGTATCTCCCTTAGAAGTCCTCCTAGCTGGTGGTGGCCCTTGCCCAGGGTAGGTCATGTGTCTTGGGACTTTCCTGTCATCACTCGGGCCAGGAGTGACTTTGACTGGTGCTCCACACTAGTGGTTCATGTGCTTCTTTTGGTGCACTGAGGTTGGCCTTCACAGCCACATTTCCCAGGCTGTGCCAGCTTTCTTTTAGGTCCAGTGTAGCAATCCCAGTGCCTCCCATCACCTTTTCACCTCTGCGTCACCGGCTTCCTCTCCGGGTTTATCAGGGTTAGTGCCATGGCGCCTTCCTCTTCCTTCACTCGATGTGTTCATGGATGTCTTGTCTCGGGTTGGGGTTTTTTGACCAGTGCTTACCAGTCCGGCCAGGGGCA